TTTTTTTTCCTTTTCTTTTGAGGCTTGCTTTATCAGAATTCTTGGAATCTGTTTCTAGTGAGAGTTGGGAGGGAGCTGGAGTCCTTGGAATCTGGTTCTGGTGAGAGCTGGGAGGGAGCTCACACCCCTGGTCTCCGCTTAGGGCTCTTGGAGGCTGTGAAAACAAACTCTTAAAGATACCATAGATGGTTGATCTTAAAGACAATGAGTTGAGTCCCAGTTGTTTAATCAAACAAAACAAAGGGCAGTTGTGCTGTGAGTTTATTTCTCTTTCTGTTTGATAGTTTCTTTCTCTGTTAGGTAGTTTATTAACAAGGCTGTTTTCAACTCTGTTTTCTTAAGACAGTTAATTTTTGGAAATTCAGGATCTCAGTGTTACCTGATTCTAACCTTTTAGTAACCTACCTGTTAAGGAAGTCTATTTCAGTTTTACTGAAAAGCTGCATTATTTCTTCCTTCTGTAAGTTAATTTCTGTTTACATGCAGATTTCGAAAGCTGTTAACTTCCTTGTATAGTATGACATTTATGAGAAGCTGTGTGGTCAGTAGATTTGTATTCAGAATGTTGTTTATAAATGAAGACAATGAACAATGGCTCTGATACATAGTTGAAATTAAAGTACTCTTTACAGAACAGTAGAAGATAAAAGGATTCTTGATTCACTAGGTAAACAGGCTCTCTATATTCTTATTTTGTTGTCTGATGATACAGACATCACAGACACCTTAACTAAATCAAGTAATAGCCTAAGTGAAATGGGGTTTTTTAAAGGAATAATGTATTCCTTTAATGAATAATTACTAGAAATTTGAACCTTTGGAGGGAAACAGAACTAACAGAAGCAGATTATTTGGTAACTGTGTAATAACTGATACCTTGCAAGACAAGAGATTCTGGGAATTGCATTTTAAAGTAGAAGGAACTGTACATTGAATGGCCATGAATGAATACATTTTAATAATTTACCCTCAATATCCAAAGAGGTAAACTAATACTTTATTATACTGATTTCCTAAATTAGCAGTTCTGGATTCTGTGTAAATCTTGTGAATAGTACATATAGCTCCCCCAAATACCAGATAATCCAAAAAGCATAGTTTTGTTTAATATTTTTTTGTTTTGTTTTCATTTAAGTGGCCCCCTTCCCCCTCTACTCTTTGCCATGTAAATTATCTATGAGCTGGATCAATTCCCTGTGTCTGCCATCACGGGCTCAGTTTTTCCATGCTTGTCTTAATTTGAAATTAATAAGAATTTAAGTGTGAAATTATTAAGTGTTAGAGCATCAGAGAAAGTATGTATGCAAGGCTCTATAATTTTTTACACAATATCACTTTCTCCTCCTCCTTATTCTACCAGTTCCCCTTCCTATTTAGTCATGACAATCAACTGATAATCAACTGATATGCTAATAATAGGAAATTGAGGTTACTGTGTGCTGATGGAGATTCTAGTAGAAGGAATAGCAGAAATACTAGTGGCCATGTAAGTACATTGTTTTGGGTTGGAGTATAGGATACACAAAGAAGAATAATGGGAAATAAGGTAGGAATTGTAAATTATGGCCTAATCATTGAGAGCTTTAGATGCTCAGATTAGGAATTTGAACTTTATTTTCTGTATTCAGTATTGATTAAAACTGAGTAGGAAACTAGTGTGATGATAGCTGCGCTTTAGAAAGTGGTCATATGGCTACATTTTAAAAACAATTTTGTTTTGGATAGCACTTAACTTCAGTTTGGATAACTCGTCATCCCATTTGAACCTGAAAGTTGAAGATTCCTGTGTAGAGTGGGATCCTACTGGAGGAAAAGGTCAAGAAAAAATTAAAGGAAAAGAGAACAAGGGCAGGTAAGCTAGTTCATTAAATCTGTTTTATGGAAAAATACTTGTACGTTGGATGTTATTTGACAATAATGTGTATTGAAATTCTTAGTCTATATACAAATATGATTTATGGTATATTAGTAACAATAAAGTGAAGATTATAATACTGTTTGTCAGTAGCTGAATTTGTCATTAACATTTTTCATTATTTGTTTCTTAGTTTCTTTCCTAATCTTCCTCTCATAATTTTTATTTTAGTATTCCATTTCTTTAAAGTTATATATACAGCAACTTGAACTGCTTAGAGAAAAGTTCCTAGCGTAACAGCTGAGTCTTAGACTTACAGATCACCTGTCTTACCTGAAGGTCTGCACTAAATGACAGCTTTTAGCATGTACAACCCTAGAGTCTTGACCCTGTTCAGCAACCCGTGAACCCAAGAGGCAGGCTCCAGGACCTTTTGTTACGGTCATAACTTATTTAAATAATATCAAAGTATTGGAGCCTGTTTCCTTTTTAACTGGAAATTTTTGTTCAAATTGAATGTAAATGTCATTGTAAGTTACAACAATAGACCAGAAAAATTCCTCAGCAGGCCTTTGATCTAATTTTATTATAAGCTGTTAAATTGAAGTTGTAAAACAGTCTCTTAACAGTTGCCTATTTTTATCTGACAGTGTCCATGTTACTTCACTGAAGAAACATACAAGGTGATGATCTGTGTCTGTCTAGTTCTAGGACTTAGTATAATCGAGCTTGGCTGAACAACTTTAATTTTTTCTTTTAACCAATAAGCAGAAACAGCAGCCTTCATAAGCTAAAATACTGCTCTGTGTAGACTGTATTGGTAGCTTATGTTTTGAATTTACAGCATTATAGTGTGCTGCATATTATTTGGATTACGTTGTATATGATAATACAGTAAGCTCTGCTTTAAAGTCTTTCTTGAATTATTTTCCCTCATCTGATTTTTTTCCTGCTTTTACTCATACCTGGCATCTTTCTTGTTGTACTGTATAATACTCAATATAGCTAACACTATAGCTTTGCTTTTATTTGTATTTGACATGAGACAGGTTTGTGTATTTTATACAATTATCTAGCTTAAAAAGCATCAAGCATAAAAAATAAAGGTCATTGCTGAAATTATTAGGACAGTGCCAGAAAGATGAATTATTTCAAATTGCATGGGTAATAATGTGCTTATTTGAAGATACCACATATCTTTACTGGAAACCATAATGTGTTCTCTTTTCAAAATTATATTCCTTTCTTCTTTTCAGTTTATTTGCTCATTATTGGTAAAGGTGGTTTCATAGATAGTATATTATAAATTGTAAAATGCTGCTGGATTTAATAGAGTCTATGAAGTTTCATCAGTCACATAGAAATTTTTAGACTATTTATTTATCATTTCAAGTTACATTATTTCTTTCTCCTTTCCCCCTTAAGAGTATTTTATTTGTAGGCCACTTCTGGAATGTTATATACATTTATTTATTCTTTCCATAAATATTTGTTTACTGTAGGATGTCTACTGGATATTGTGAAGTTTATAATGATAAATACTGTCTCTGCCTTCACAAAATTTGCCCTAACTCATATAGAGTTATATATACAAGTAACAGTCATATGTACAAGTCATATATAACAGTCACATATGCAAGTAACAGTAACGCAAGGTAGACATTATGTGTAATGGTAAGTGTGAATAAAGGAGTTCAGAGGAAGAAAGATGTGCAGAGCTGCCAGGTGTTGAGGTGGTCAATTAGGAAAATGAGCTGAACTAAAAGTAATAATCAAGCCTTTATTGATTTGCTGTGATACTATAAGCCAGAGGTCACAAAGGAAAGGGTGCTTGTTTTCCTAGCATTCAGTTTTTCCCAACAAAATGGCACTGGGTGAAGGTCAAGTGAATCACCACAGATCACAGGTAGTGGATCTTCTCACTGCCAAGAAGCCCCAAATAAAAGGCTTCTGTTGGTTTATGGCCCTTATGGCCAAGAAGGTGGAGTTAAAAGTGGGAAAGTACTAAAAACAGAGTGGAGAAAAGTATTTTCAAACCAACTTTCATTTCCCCTCTTCCCCAACCCTGAAGGAGGTCTACACAGAGGCACTTGAAAAGTATCTCAGCCTAGGACCTCCCTCCCATAAGGGGGCCTCTGAATAGAAATGTCTAGGCTAGGAATGCAGACACACATATGAGCATGGTGAGGAGAGGGGTGGAGTTGCAACTCCCTCTAGAAACAATAATGCTCTAGCTGTGCACCAAGTCTAGTGTAAGGAGGGCAGCCTACCCAACCCTATTCCTTTACGCTGCCCCACCCAGGCCTGCTAGCTGAAACCTTTGTGTAATAATTGCCTATGGGTGGGCCTGAAAGATAACACATAGAATTTTAGTCTGGAGCTTGGACTCCTCAGAAGAGTATTTAGCCTGGTAGGATCTGGGAGACCTTCATTAGGGAAGTGGTTCTTGAGCAAATGGAAAAATGTGTGGTATTTGCAGTGAGGGTGGGGAGCAATAAGAGGAAAGGCAGTAAAGCAAGATTGTGTGAGTTTGAAGAACATTTTGGCTGTATAATTATAGTGCTCTCTAGGGGTGAAGAGGCTACAAAGGCAGATTAGGACCAAATCAAGAAGCTGGAATGCCAGGCTAAGTCGTTTGTAGGCAGTACAGAAGTACATGAAGATTTTTAAATAGCGTAATCAAAGCTAGGTTTATTTTGTAATAGCATTATGAATTGAGAAGCAAAGAGAACATTTGGGAAGCTGGTAAAACAATCCAGACTATAGACATAGCAAAGAGCCTTAATTCAGACACTTAAGTGGCCAGGGTGTCTTTCAGAGAGGCCAGGTAAGTGGAGGGGTGGGAGGAGATCATGCTTGACATAAGATAATAATGGCTGTTGTACTTCTTGCAAAAATGGACTTGTTGGAAGCCTGGAATGCTGCAATGGAAGATTTATCCTTATTTAACTTTTCTCTGAGATTAAACTGCCAATGTCAATAGATATATATGTTTCTTTTTCTACATGCTTCCCTTTATTTCTTACTACTGGTAAGTTATAAATTTTTTAAAATTATTTTTCTGGTTCTCAAAAGACCTCTTAACATATTTTGAAGCAATGCTAAGTGAAAATTTTCTGTTTATTTATATGACTTTCACTTGTTATTTATTGTCCTGAATTACCTGGGAAATATTTTTCAAAATGCGTGTTTTCTCCCAGCAGACATTCAGGCCTTCTAGCTGAGGAGATGAACTGTCCATGTATTTTGAAAAAGTTTCCTGATTGATTTTGATTCTGTTGTCCCTCTTCAATTGACAACTACTGATTTATTACAAAATCCTAAAGGCCTGTGTTTCTCCAGTTTAGGACTATATGGTTCAGGAAGGTAGAGGTAGTCCTTAGTTAATAACATCACATAGTCCATTTACTCGGCTGAGCTCATTCATTTTATTCAGATATTGTATACCTATTCTATGTACTGAGGATACACAGATGAGAAGATGTGGTTCCTGGCAACAGTTATTTCCCTTCCTTCAGCTACTCCACAGCCAAGTTCCTCACTTGCCATAGCAAGCAAGTACTGAGGGTGCCATATGGTAGACTAGACTGTGTAAGAACTGTCTTTTCATCATTACCCTTTTAATCTCTGCCCCTTCTTAGGTGAGATTTGTTTTGTTTTACCTCAATGATTCCTAACCTAGCTAAGCAGCAAAAACTTGAAGTTCTTAATTAAAAAACACAAACATGTTTCTCAAACCTACCTTCCAGTGTTCTGATTTAGTAGTCTGTGGTAAGGCTGGTAATTTGCATTTTTAAAAGTTCGCCAAGTGGTTCTGATGTCCAGCCAGTTTCAGAACCACTGGTTAGGCTTGTTTATTCCTCCTCACCCCTAATTACACAAGTACTCTAACCTCTCATCTCCTTTTATTTGATTCTCACCTAGTGACCCACAACTAAATTTTTTGACTTTGCTCCATCTCTCAGCTGAAAAGCAGCCATAGGCATGAATGTTAAGGGTAAGAATAATATTAATACCACCAGCAATACTAAAAAGCATTGGAGTTTGAAGTGAAGTTAGATACAATGGAGAGCTACTATTCTGAAGTTACTGTATCCCATCTTCCTTCTCTAGTTACAAAACTAATTTTCTACAAATAGTGATATTTAAGATTAATTAAAATTATATTTATTTTTGTGTAATTACCAGTATTTGCAGTTGAACTAATTTGGATGGAGGAAGATTAATGTGCAGTAATATTTTGGTGACTTTATGAATTAGATAATCTTTGGTGAGCTATGCGCTCGTTTTTTTCTAGGGGAGAGTGTACTTCCATTTCAGATAATGTTTCATATGAATTTTTGGAGAATAACTGTAAATCATACTGTTTTTGTATTGTGTAGGTATTCTCAAGACCTAAAAGCTTTTTTGCTGTAATTTATAAACCATGTAGGAACAATTTTACTTTTATTCCCTTCCTTTTCATGCCTTCCTAATGTTGCATCTAAAACGTTTTCAAAATTTTTTTAAAGCAAAAGAACGTTTCTAGAAGCCTAATCTAAAAAGAGAAAGATATATTTGGCTAAAGTGGGGAAGAAGCCCCAAAGCTGTCTTCTTCCCAGAGTCCTGCAGCAGTCTCTGTGGAATCTGTGGATTCCCTTGACTTCAGGACAAGAAAACTACCAGTTTCAGAACACTTTGTCCCCCAGAAGATGATGAAAGTTAGAGCTATCTTTTTTTTTCTAATTTGGGGGCAAATATAGTGTTACCTTTTCTCCTGACTGTAAGATAAAATATTTGAAAACACACAGATCTTTTGTAATCAGGTTTTTAACATTGTCAACTAGCTTGTATAAGAATCAGAAAGAAAATTGTGATGCAATTCTTTTTTTTTTTGAGTTATCAGTGAGTTGACAGAATGTTTGCAGAGTTTTACTTTCTTACTACTTAATGACTCTTAAGAGTATTGTATTTAAGTATTAACTTAGAAAACATGGTCACACCAATGTTGAAGAAGTTAAAAATATATTTTTGATATCCAGAATAAAGAGTATACATTTTTCTTAATTTTTGTTTGTTTCTGCCCTTTATTTTGGAGAAGATCTCAACAACTCTTCTAAGATTCTTCCCTCTCAAGTTTTGTTCTCCCCTTCCCCCATAGGAATAAACTACTAACTGCCTACCTGAACACAGGTTTCACAGAAATTTTAATTAGGCTATCCTTATTCACCTCTCTTCATGCTGTCTGTTCATACAGAGATCACAGTCAGTTGCTTAAATATCTTTTTAAAAAAATATTTTTACAAAAAGGACCTTTGAAGTCCTTTGGGAAGAATTAAACTAAATTGTGTGAATGCTATTGTTGTAGATCTATAATTATGCTACTTAATATCATTCACTAAAAAATACACAGTTGACGTGGTCTTAAGTTCACTGTTTCATTTTTTGAAATTGTCTAATCTGCTTTCTGACAGCAAGACAACATTTAAATAATGTAGAATGAGTCATGTGAAATGACTTTAAATTATATCCTTATTCTTGCCTTGCCTTTGGTAGGGATTTCTATTTCAATATTAATAATAGCTTTTTAAAATCTACTAAATTGATCTTAGGAAGAAAAATTCTCATACAACTATATGGGAAAAATGTTTTTATTTCTAATTAGTGGTGATAATATAGTTATCCTTATTTCCCCTAAATAATAACTTTAGGATAATCTTGACCAAAATTTTTTTTTGTTTTTTAAATGGACTGATTCAATGTAATTAAAATGTTATTTTAAAACAAACTTGAAATTTAATCTATTTTGAGTTTTTGAGAGTTAGAAATCCCAATTCTGTCTAGTTTTCCATATCATGTAATTTAATAAAAGGAGAAGTCAGGTTGGATCTTGTCCATTTTAGTAGGAGAAATACTTTATAATACTTGATATTATCCTGTGCATGGATTTGGGCAATTGCTCTTTCTATTTTTAAGAAGAAAGATCCAGAACAAAAATATCTAATGATAATAAAAAAGGTTATTTAGTTAACGATTTTAAGAATAAGCCTGGCTTTGCCCTTGCTTTTATTTAAATTTAACTGCAAACAATGTAAGCAATAACCTGTTATCTTCCTTGTGTCCTTTTTTTTTCTTTCAGTAAGTCTTGTCTCATTTGGCATTGTTTCTTTTTCCAACTGTGTGTTCTTTGTATGAGCCTTGCTCAGTCTGCATGACATTAGTGTTTTAGCCTGCTTTGTATTGATGGCTTCTTACATTTGAGTGTTTGTCATTGGCAACTCTCTTTAATAATAATTCAAATCAAATTGAATGATGTTATTTCTACAACATAATTAGAAATCTTTTCAAAATTTCCTTCCATGATTTTTACTTTATGGAACATTTACAACATAAAATATTTGTTTTCCTTTTTGTTCTTGTTTATATAGAAGTGGTACACCGTCCCCCAAACGGACATCTGTAGGCTCCAGGCCACCAGCAGTAAGAGGCAGCAGAGATCGTTTTACGGGGGAATCATACACAGTGCTGGGTAGGATAAAACATAATAGTTCTTTATTCTCTCAGGTTAAAGGCATCACAATCACACCGGTGCACTTACCACTCACTTAGAGCTAGAGTAGCTGCCTGTGTATTGAATGATTCTTTGCAGAAGTTTCTCCCAGTTAAAGCCTAATTATTACTTTGTCATGGTGGAGGGGAGGGGGGATTGTTCAAATTGTCTTATGATTGACACTTTTAAAACTCTACTTCAGCTTACATAGTGTTCTCACATGTATGTATAACCCTGGAGGGGGGATAGTAAGGAAGAAAATTTCTGAAGCATTTTATATTTAGAAAAATAATTAAAGGTACTCTGCATTGAGTGTCTATGTGTTATCATGATTATTCTTATAGAAAGAGTACTTGAATCAAAATTTTTTTGCCATTTTTGGGTTCAGTGATAGGTAAAACTCATGTAACTCATAAGGAAGAGGTAAGAGTCAACTCTACTTTTCTAATCTTTTGTAGGAGACACTGCTATTGAAAGTGGACAACATTATTGGGAGGTCAAGGCCCAGAAGGATTGTAAATCCTACAGCGTGGGAGTAACATACAAAACTTTGGGGAAATTTGACCAGTTGGGAAAGACAAACACTAGTTGGTGTGTCCATGTCAACAACTGGCTACAAAACACATTCGCAGCAAAGCATAATAATAAAGTCAAAGCTTTGGATGTTACTGTTCCTGAGAAAATAGGTGTATTTTGTGATTTTGATGGGGGTAAGTTCGCTTATTTTCTTATAGGTTGTGTCATCATAGTTGCTTATATTTCAGTACTTTTCATTGGTAAGCATCTATACAGGATTTCCATTAGTACTGTGGTAAGGACATTTTTACCAACTGGGCTTTGATCACAAACATAATCTCAGTTCTAGAATTGACTGGAAGGGCATGTGATATCTGCCTGGAGCCCTAGAAAAGCACCCCTTAGATAATATATTAAGCAAGTCTGAAAGATTTTGCTGATTTTAGTCTTCCTCACTAAAGTTTCTTCTGTCCATTTAAATGCCTTCCTTACCATGTTTTATTACCTACCTGTAAAGAGTGGTGAAGTCAGAATTTTTGAGTTGGAGTAGATCTTAGAAATTACCCAGTCCATTTGCCACACAGTATAAAAATCCTTATTACAATATCTCTGCAGGTAGTTGCCACTTTGTTTTATAAAGCAGTATGTTTGTTTCACTATGGGACAGCTCTTGGTTAGATGGTTTTTCTTCAACTGACTCACTTTGTCTCCCTATAACTTCTGAGATGGTTACTCTTAAATCTTGCCATCTGGGCTGGGTACAGTGGCTCATGCCTGTAATCCTAGCACTCTGGGAGGCCGAGGCAGGTGGATTGCTTGAGGTCAGGAGTTCGAGACCAGCCTGAGCAAGAGCGAGACCCCACCTCTACTAAAAATAGAAAGAAATTAGCCAAACAACTAAAAATAGAAAAAATTAGTCGGGCATGGTGGTGCGTGCCTTGTAGTCCCGGCTACCCGGGAGGCTGAGGCAGGAGGATCACTTGAGCCCAGGAGTTTGAGGTTGCTGTGAGCTAGGCTGACGCCATGGCACTCTAGTCCAGGCAAGAGAGTGAAGACTCTGTCTCAAAAAAAAAAAAAAAAAAAGACATTAAAAAAAAAAAATTCTTGCCATCTGAATAAACACAGAATTATGTTCCCTAATTCATGCTCACATGGTAATCTTTATTTGTTAAAAACTACAGGTACTCACATTGCTTTTCTTGCCTGTTTTTCCAGTCCATACATTCTGTGTTATTAGCTGCTTCCCTTATAATTTAATTTTTACAAACCTTTATGACTTCCTATGGTTGTATACTGTGTCAGTGTATTTCTTAAGGATTGGTTCTCAGAGTAGAACATACGACCTCTGACCAACAAAGGACAGTGATTTGTCAACACTGTTTCTATTAATATGAATTAACTAGACTGTTGACTTATATTGAATTTGTAGCCATCTGGTCCACTAGATCTTTTTTCATGGAATTATGTCAAATTGTCTTTTTCTTCCTCTGTTAGGCAGTCTTCCTCTGTTAGGCAGTCTTCCTCTGTTAGGCAGTCTTCCTCTGTTAGGGTCTTTTTATTGTCCTATAACTCAAATGAAGACTAGTTATCCTCTTTTTAGTTTCATCTTAAGAGATTTGGCCAAGCTTCCCCTCCTATTAAAATCATCTAAAAATTAACTTGATATTTATCTTTTGAAAAATTTCTTTAAGCTTTTTAAGTTAGTTATTTGATAAGTATTCTCTCTAGTCATCTAATTTATAAAATTTTGAAGGTGACATAGTATTGAACTAAAGTAACCCTAGATCTGCGGTCTCCAGCCCTGGGCCACAGCCCAGCACCGGTCCGTGGCCTGTTAGGAAACGGACTGGGCATCACCACTTGAGCTCTGCATCACCCCCGCATCCCCCCAATCCCCACCCTTCCCTCACCCCAGTCCATGGAAAAATTGTATTCCATGAAACCGTTTCCTGGTGCCAAAAAGGTTGGGGACCGCAGCCCTAGATGTTTCTCTCCAAGTTAACACTTTAATAATGCCAAATTTTATCATTTTAAGTAACATTGTATCCAAATAATTGCAGGAGCTATCAATTTAGTTACTCTAAAAAGGAAAAAAGTTAATTTGGTTTGCATTTTTTTAACTTATTCACTTTGAATCAGATAAACCATTTTCCTTAGGATAAATGGCAAATTTATTAGCTCACTTTTTTTTCTTTTTTGACTATCAAGACATTTCCTTATCTTTTCTCTCCTTTCCCATAATCTGTGATTCCACAAAGAAAGTAGTGAGAAGTAATTGCTCGCCTAGAGCATAGGGTGCAGCAAGGGGAAGTTGTAATGTATTATAGAATAGGATCAGATCCTTAGAGCCTTGAAAAATAATAATAGACTGGTCTTTATTTAGTAGTGGGGAAGGATGATTCTGCACATTTTAGGAAATATTAGAGAGTGAATGGTTAAAGATGGAAGAGGTTACAAGTACATACAGCATAAGACTTTTCAGGAGGCAGTCTTCAAGCAATGTAGGGCATGGCCGTGTCTGTTTTGTTAACTATTAAATCCTTATTGCCTGGCAAGTGCTTTTTACATAGGAAGCCCTTAATAACTTTGTTGAGTGACTGTAACAAAGACCTGAGCTATGGAGAATCAAGAAGAAGAGTAGATTTGATGGTTTGAAAATAGAATTCATAGTACTTAGTAACTAAGTATGGTTTGTTGGTGAGAGATAAGAGTTGAGCATGACTTTGAGGTTCCAGTCAGTGTGATTGTGAGGATGATAGTCCTGGGGGAAAATGAGATGGCAGCAGGACAACCATGTGGTATAGTTAGCAAGGATTTCGAAATTTAGTGCTGGAACTCAGAAGAATAGTAGAGCTGAAGCCAATATTTGAGACATCACAGAGTGGCTACTGAAGATTCCACACAACAACGCATTTAAGCATTACTGTTCTGCTGTTGACTAACTTTATGATCATACATGGGTTGCCTAATATTTTGAGGCAATGTTGTAAAGCACCTAGTGTTTAATAGTGTGCATTAATGTCAGTTTCTTTTCTCTTCCTCTTTGGTTGCAAATGATTTATTTAAGGAAGCATTGTAGAGACAAAAGAGTCTGGACAAAGCAGCTGCATTTAGAATAGGAGTAAAGGGAGGAGATAGAAGATACCATCAAGGTTAGGATGCAAACCAAGAGAAGAGTTTCAAGAAGTGATCACAGTTGTAAGGAGGTCATCAGGTTGGACAATTTAGGAGATCAGACAGAGTTATTTTAGGGCATGATCCTGTTGAAAGACATACTGTGAGGGGATTTTAAAAATTAACAAAGCGTAAGCAGTGATGACTATACTGATATTTCAGAGACTGGAGTATGAGTATGGCTTCAAGTAGTTAGAAGACAAGGTTTAGGAGAGTAAACCTTAAATGGTGATATGATTTGGGTAGAGAGGCTAGTTATAGTAAAAATAAGGAGGAAGAAATGGCTTTAGTTTTTACTGGGCTAATGAAACTATTTGTTAAATAATAATAATGAAATAGTTTATAGTTGAATAAGTAGAGTAGAGCCAGATTACGGAGGCATTATGAAGGTCTTGAAAACCAGGGGAAGAAAACTGGATTTAGGCTTTTCCTGAAGCATGTTTACTACTGATTTTCAAGTGAGTATAATTAAATCCACTCCTTATAGTTTATAACAGAAAAATTAATGCCAAAGTACCCATGAAGTTATTTTTTGCATGATTATATGTTAGACTTAATCAGATGTGGTTTTTTGGTATAATAAATTGGGCTTTTTTTCCCTTTCTTTTTAGGTCAGCTTTCTTTCTATGATGCAAACTCAAAACAGTTGCTGTATTCCTTTAAGACAAAATTTACTCAACCAGTACTACCTGGTTTCATGGTTAGTACCTAATTTATGTTTTAATTGGTTTGACAACTTTAGGGGGAATAATCTGTGTTGTACATTTGGGGAAGCAGAACATCTTATTTTTTCTTCATATTCCTCTCCCTTTCCCCAATTCACCCTCTCTCAAATCTGTCTCTATCTTTTTGGTATATTTTATTGAAGTTATTGTTAATACATAAAAGTACACAAATCATAAGCATGTAGTTTGACGCATTTTCATAGGACTGCACTTGCTTTTGTAACCAGCACCTTCACCAAGAAGTGGATATTGCCAGAACCTCAGCAGGCCCCTTGCGCCCATTCCCAGTCCCTAATGGCCCTCCACTAAGGTTAACAATTATCTTGAGCTTTATTACCATAAATTCATTTTGCCTCCATTTCAGTTTCATATAAATGGGATCATACAATATCTTTTTGGTTTGACATTATGTTTGTGAGATTTATCCATATTCTGTGTGGTTGTAGTTTATTCGTTCTTATAGCTATATAGTTGTACATTATATGACTATATTACAATTTATTTATCCATTCTAATTTAGTTGGATACATGTGTGGTTTCCATTTGGCGGCTTTCACAAATAGAACTGCTATGAATATTCTTGTTCATGTCTTTTGATAAATGTATATACATTATTTCCATTGAGTATATATTAATACCTAGGATTGGGTTGCTAGATCATATGGTAGGTGTATAATCAACTGTCAAACAGTTTTCCAAAGTGGTTGCTTATACTAATTTACAACCAGCACTATCTGAGAGTTTGAGTTCCTCCATATCCTTGTCAACACTTGTTATTGTCTTTTTATTTTAGTCCCTCTAGTGAGTATGATATATTACATTGCGGTTTTAACTTGCATTTCCTTGATGACTAGTGCTATTGAGCACTTTTTCTTCTTTGTTAACTATTTGGGTATGTTCTTTTGTGAAGTGGCTATTCTGGTCTTTTGCTTGCATCTCTATTGGGTTGTCTTTCTATTTCTTTCTGATTGATTTGTAGATCTTTATACAGTCCTTTGCCAGATGCATTTAGTGCAAATATCTTCTCCACTCTGGCTTTTCCTTTCCTTCTCTTACTGGTATCCTTTGATGAACAAAATTTGTTAACTTTAATTTTGCTCGGTTTATCAATTTTTTCCTTTATAGTTGGCGCTTTTTGTGTTCTGTTTAAGAAATTGTTATTTACCTCCAAAGTCATGAAAACATTCTTGTGTTTACTTTTAAAAGCTTTACCATATACATTTAGATGTAGACTTCATTTACAATGCAAGTACGTTGTAGAATTGATGTGTTTGGTATGAAGAAAGGTCAAGATACATTCTTTAATTTCACATTGATATCCAGTTATTCCATTTATTTGTTCATTTATTGAAAAGATTATAACACAGTGTCATCTTTGTACAATATTAGATAACTGTCTTTGTATACACATAATTTCAGGTCTGCTCAGTTTCAGGCTGATTTATATAACAAAACTCATGTTTCTTTTTATAAAATGAAAAATGGTTTTGAATTTATTTTTTAAGCAAATGCTATTGCTTCTTCCAACTCCTCATCCCTCTGAATTTCTCCATAAGGTTAGGCTACTGTGGGGAGTCTCGGTCTAGTTAAGGTCACCATTATTCTGTTTAGAACTTTTCTTAATTTGAGGGCTATTTCTGCAAATCAGGATGGTATCTTTCAAGTCCAGACTTGGAATATTTGTATGTGTTTTCTTCCATCATCACGCCTAACTGTAACCCCTCAACTATGAGGAGCAAGTACTCAGAATATGTGTGGGTTTCAAATACAGTGTTTTTAAATCTCACAATCAATAATGATTATTTACCCTAGATACCCTAAAATCTTAAGTTTAAAACAGTGCTGATAACCAAGACTCCTACTTTTTCACTAAAAAGTAGAAGTGATTAGTGAATAAAGTTACTGTTCATGGAAAAATACTTAAAGATATTAGAAGGATTGTTTCTTTTTCTTTTTTTCCTACTTTGCTATAAATCTCTGCTGTATTGTATATTTGTGGCTGTTTTTCCAAATTGGTCAGTCAGGGAGAAGTTGTTTAACCATATGGAACTCGGAAAAGTTATTTTTTCCCCTAAGTCTTAGATATGCTTTTTGTTTTGTTTTTTTTTTTTTTTTTGAGGCAGAGTCTCGATTTGTTGCCCTGGCTAGAGTGAGTGCCATGGCGTCAGCCTAGCTCACAGCAACCTCAAACTCCTGGGCTCAAGCAATCCTTCTGCCTCAGCCGCCTGAGTAGCTGGGACTACAGGCATGCGCTACCATGCCCGGCTAATTTTTTCTATATATATTTTTAGTTGTCCAGATCATTTCTTTCTATTTTTTGGTAGAGACGGGGTCTCGCTCTTGCTCAGGCTGGTCTCGAACTCCTGACCTTGAGCGATCCACCCGCCTCGGCCTCCCAGAGTGCTAGGATTACAGGCGTGAGCCACCACGCCCGGCCTTAGATATGCTTTTATAAAGAAATAGATTTCATTTTTAATTTGAATCTATCTCATGTAGATAAGTACTGAGTTTATTCATTGTTTTTTCATTCCAAATAATGAAACTAATTATATTAGTAAATGTCATAAGATACTTTAGAAATTGTTTTAAACTGGTTACATTTTTTTTTCCTTCACTGAAGGCCTGCTTTTATTGACTAAGTAAATGACTATTAAATGTTTTATGTACAAGATTAACTTTTTAAGTCAGTTTTACTGAAGTATAATTTACAGTGTTATGCAGTTCCATAGTTTTGACAAATGCATATAATTATATAACCACTACCATAATCAAGATATATTAAGTTGGTGCAGAAGTAATTGCACTTTCGGACTGGATTTTAAATCATTATAACTAGGCTCAAACACATCTTTATTAATCAAAATAGGAACCATTACAATCAACACAATTGTTGCCAATGAGAAATAAGTTTGTTTATTCCTGTAGCGTAAAAATCTGTGTTTCAGGATTCGACGAACTCTTGAAAAGAATTCTCTGCATCTTGCTGGTTGTGGAAGCGTTTTCCCTGCAAAAAGTTGTCAAAATGATGTTTGAAGAAGTGGTAGTTGGTTGGTGAGAGATCAGGTGGATATGGCAGATGAAGCAAAACTTCGTAGCCCAATTCATTCAACTCTTGAAGCATTGGTTGTGTGACGTGTGGTCGGGTATTGTCGTGGAGAATTGGGCCCTTTTGTTGACCAATACTGGCTGTAGGCATTGCAGTTTTCAATCTCATTGATTTGCTGGGCATACTTCTCAGATGTAATAGTTTTGCAGGGATTCAGAAAGTTGTAGTGGATCAAACTGGCAGCAGACTACCAGGTGACCATGACTTTTTTTGGTGCAAGTTTGGCTTTGGGAAGTGCTTTGGAGCTTCCTTGCGGTCCATTCCACTGAGCTGGTCATCACTGGTTGTCATATGAAATCCACTTTTCGTCGTACGTCACAATCCGATTGAAAAATGGTTCGTTGTTGCATAAGAGAAAAGAAGACGGCACTTCAAAATGATGATTTTTTTGATTTTTGGTCAGCTCATGAGGCACCCACTTATCAACCTTTTTCACTTTTCCAATTTGCTTCAAATGCCAAACAACTGTAGAATGGTCGACCTTGAGTTCTTCAGCAACTTCTTGAGTCCTTGTAAGAGGATCAGCTTTGATGATTGCTCTCAATTGGTAGTTGTCAACTTCCGATGGTCAGCCACTGTGCTTTCTCATCTTGAAGGCTCTTGTCTCCTTTGCAAAACTTCTTGAACCACCACTGCACTGTACATTTGTTAGCAGTTCCAAATGCATTGTTGATGTTGCAAGTTATCTCCTGCTTTACAACTTATTTTGAACTTGAATAAGAAAATTGCTCAAATTTGCTTTTTGTCTAACATCATTTCCATAGTCTAAAATAAATACAAAATAAACAGCAAGTAATAAGTCATTAGCAAAAAAATAAAGCAAGAAATGCACATTAAAATGATGTATAACATAACCACATTTATTTAAGAATGTATTCCAATATCAAATGGCAAATGTCAACAATGCTAAAACCTCAATTACTTTTGCACCAACCTAATCGAACATTTCCATTGCTCTAGAAAATTCCTTCATGCTCCTTTGAAGGGTTCCCCTCCACACAACCAGCCCTAGCAATCAGTAGCCAGTTTTTAGTCCATATAGTTTTGCCTTTTCCAGCATGTAACATGAATGGAATTGTATGTAGTCTTTTAATTTTGTAGCATAATGCATTTGAAATTAATCCATGTTGTTGTGGTGTCAGTATTCTCCTGTTTTTCATTGCTGAGTAGTGTTTCATATACATATATGTTAATACCAGAGTTTATTTATCCATTCACTAGTTGAAGGACATTTGTGTTCTTCCTAGTTTTGCACAATTATGAATAAAGTCACTCTAAACATTTACATACAGGTTTTGTGTGAACATATGTTTTCATTTCTCTTGGATAAGTGCCTAAGAATAGTAATAGGGTTGCTGGATACCATGGAAAGTGTATGTTTAACTTTATAACAAACTATCAAATGTTTTTGGAAGTGTCTCTACCATTTTTGCATTCCTATCAGCAATATATGAGAGTTCATCACATCCTTGCCATTATTTGGTATTGTCAGATTTTTTGTTGTAGTTAAGCCACTTTAATAGGTGTGTAGTGTTCGTTGTGGTTTTTTTTTTATTTCAATAGTTTCAAGTGTTTTTTGTTACATGGATGAATTGTGCAATGCTGAAGTCAGGGCTTTTAGTGTACCCATCATTGTACCTGATAGGTAAATTTTTATCCCTCACCCTTCATTGTGTTTTTATTTGCACTTTCCTGATAACAAATAATGTTCAGCATTTTTTCTTGTGCCTATTGGCCATTCATATAATTTTTTTGGTGAAGTATCTGTTAAAATCCTTTGCTCGTTATTTTAGGAGTTGTTTTCTTGAGTTTTAAAAGTTCTTTATATATTTTGGATGTGAGTCCTTTATCAGATATATGCCTTGCAAATATTTTCTCCTGGTTTATGGCTTGCTTTTTCATTTTCTGAACATTTCAAAGAGAAGTTTTTCATTTTGATATAAAGTCCAGTTTAGCAATATTTTTTTTCCATTTATGAGTAGTGCTTCACCCAACTCAAGGTCACAAAGATTTCCTATGTTTTCTTCTTGAAGTTTTACAGTTTTAGGTTTTAGGTTTTACATTTAGATCTATGATCCATTTTGAGTTAATTTTTGTATATGGTACAAGGTATGACTTGAGGTTCGTTTTTTTGCATAGGGATGTCCAGTTGTTCCAGTACCATTTATTGAAAAGACTAATTGTTCTCCACTGATTTGCCTTTGCATCTTTGCGGTAGATATTTTGAGTAAATAGTTTTCTAACTCATTTACATAATTTCCAAAAAGTAATATAGCAAATTTATAATGAGAGGGTTGCTTTTGTGTTTTGGGAGTTATCATTACTGAGCCTGCTAGTTCTGAAAATTTAGAATGTTAATTATATAGTTATAAATTTCACAGTTCAGTAGATTCTTTGGTGCAGTAACCTAGTTACTTAGTAGATATTAAACACTTAAGGATATAATTGAAAGTGGGAATACTTAAACAACTTCTAGAATTTCCCTTCCCCTAAGTTTGTGTCTACTACATACATGGTAGTTGATAATAGTTTAAATGTTCCATATTTTCATATTTTAATTCTCCTGACTCTGTTCCAAATATGTTATTTTTCAATTTATTGAATCCTAGCTGCTCTGTTCATAAGCAAAGCAGTTTTTATCTTTCATAAACATATTCATATTTATGATAATAGAACATGGCAAGTATGTCTGGATATTATCATTTGCATTTTTTCAGAAGTTCTTTTTAAAGAATTATAAAAGGGTTTTTATTGTTAACAATATAGGGAAGATTTTACTGTTAACAGAGGTGTAGATTCCTATAGTCTCGGGCCACATCTAATTATCAAAACCAAAAGCATAATTGGGATAAGGAAATTGGTTTTTTGTACACTTCCCTTGGTTGTGAAGGTTAACATCAGTAATGAGAGCCATTATCTTTTGCCTAGATTAATCCAATTTAGTTTCCAAATTTCTGTGCCCCTGAGTTCCCGTCTTAGGTGCAGCTCCATTGGGGTTCTGCTACCCCAAAGACTTCTCTGGCCTCGTGGTTCTAAAAGAAGTTCTGAGTACCCTTTCCACTTCCCCTCAGCTCACATATGAAGGTCATCAGTTTGGAACTTGTTGATGTTCATGTTTGTGGCATTTTGCTTTTCAAATGGAAATTTAAGAGTCATTGAAATTCTAATTTGATTTGAAATCTCACTGAGGCTTTATTTCTTTTTGTAGGTTTGGTGTGGTGGACTTTCTTTGAGTACTGGGATGCAGGTTCCAAGTGCTGTGAGAACGCTTCAGAAAAGTGAAAATGGAATGACTGGTTCAGCAAGCAGCCTGAACAATGTTACTCAGTAATGTCTGAATATGTTTACCCTCCCTCTTGCTTGGGTGGCCTTTTCTGTGCAGTTACTAATCACAGAAATTTGTGAGTGGTGAAAATCAGGTTTTGTATGTTCTACTTTGAAGCCTGGAATCTGTTAGCATTAAGCATCTAGTATAAAGCATTTGCAAGAACCTACTGTGCAATATCATAGAAGCAAGCAGATATCGATCAAGAAACTGATATTTTGAAGAGTAAATGAGGAAAAAGGCAGTGTTCAGATATTTACATAGAAACTCATCTTTGTGTTTTTGGATTACTTGGGCTCTTCTAATATGTTTAATCACATGTGGTGGTTGGTAACCTAGGGTCTGGGGTGAAAAGCTTTTAAAATTTGCCTTCTTTCCTCTATATTTTTTCTTTTCTATCTTATCACTACCCGTTATTTAGTTCTTACACTGAAGCTTTAAAAATACAAACACTGTAAGGTTTTCTAAAAATTGAAATCATTGGTTTGGAATGATAGAAAGGTTTTCTTACAATGGTGTATTTTTGCCCTTTTATAAATAATTTTACAAAATTATCCTCTTGTTTATTTACTAGATCATATATCATTTTCTGTTTTCCAAAATACTGTGAGATTTCTGTTGTGGTTGTAATTCAAAACAGAGAGTGGATAGGAAGAACTTGTAGACATAACAGCTTAAAAATAAAATTTCAGTTTTTTACCTGTGGTACTAACACAGTAGCAAAGGGGCATTCTTTTTATGTTACCCTATTTAATTAGACTTCTTTTCATTCCATCACTTTGGATGATGGGTAGGATTTTTAAAAGCTTTATTTTCTTACTTTGTTGTCTGGTTTAATCCCACCTTTAATAGTTATCTTTGGTGAAATTCTAACTCAAATTTCGCACTGGTAATAATTACACTGATTTTTAACATCTCTAGTAGGAATGAAAGCTTATGAAAGTTATATAGAGGGTAGAAAAACGTACACTACTCAACTTTTATCTAAGAAGGATTGGTTATAAAGCGAGGTGCCTAAAAGTATTCTTTACTGAAGTAATTTATATCTTCTTTTTAACATAATAAGATATGGAATGATTTAAACAGTTGTTTTGGAAAAAAAATCTACCTTATCTGACTTAATTGGCATATGACTTTTTCAAAAACCATTCAGAGGTTAGTTTTCTCTCATTGCTTTTGCTACATTCATTTGCTTTCTAAAGGAGGGTAATTCTTCCAAAAATCGACACAGACATTTTTCCCAAACTTGGGGAAGATATGTTTAACAATAAGTAAAACCCATGGTTATTGAACAGAACATAACTATTCTTAAAAAGTTGTAAAATTTGTAATTCAAGTCCTTTGAGCCAAACTAAAAGCTTCAATTACAGTATCTAAGAATTCTTTGGGCATTTTTAAGAGGTCTGAATTTGTATTTTTCTTAATTTTTGAAACTTCTAATTTCTCCTGTTGTCTTTCATTCTCATTTTAAATATCTTGTGCTATGACAACCTCCTCTCAAGAAGTGACTTTGTTGCTTACATTTGAGTTGCTTTCTACATAAAAGCCTGTGTAATAACTCATTCTCTCTTAAAATTTACTCGTGATAGGATTTTTTTTCATTGATGAAACAAATCTAAATGAGGATTTATTTGAACTGGAGTAATATTTTTCCAGAGGACATTCATCTCTGCACACATATTGGTAATTTTAAAGACTATAAGGCAGCTTACAAAATGAAGTATGTCGATAGACGTTCTTTTGATTCTCCAAACAAATATAATTTCGGTTTTTTTCCTTATAGGGATTTTGAAAGAAATCTTTGGATGTTCTGTTCCCTGTAGAGGAACTATTCCAGGAACTAAGGAAAGAGAAATTTATAATTCCCTTTCATAGGCTCAAACCTGAAAGCAGTAATTTAGTGGTCAAGTTGCTTTATGTGAATTTTAGTATATTTTAGCAGAAACGACACAGAAAAGGCCAGATGTTCTTGTAGAAAATTTTTTACTATTATGTCTTAAAATTATGTCTTCTCATTAATTCAGTGCCTTTTTCCTCCAAGCATACTCTTGCTCCATGCCCCATGCAGTGTCAACTGCTATTAAGCCAGAGAGTATTATGTAAGGGCCTTCTGTTGCAGGGGCATGGGGAAATGGATATACTTAATCAGGGGCTGGAGGAGTGCATATGACTCTTGTGCTAATGTCATCATTTGAAACTCTTCATAAAAAATTTTTCTAATATTCATTTGGAAAATATATTAATTTCATTGAGGAGGTTTCATTTCTGAGAGGTTTTGTAGTAATAAATATAAATCCAGTAAATCCAGAGTCCCAAGTTCTCATCACATGTTGATACTTGATATTAAAATATACTACTATTACTTCAAAATAAGAATTTGAGGATTTCCTCTTACTGTGCTTCGTAAAGGTCTTTAGAATTAAAGGACAAAATGTGCGGTTGTTTAGTTTGTTATAAATGTTTTTAGTTTATTTAAGTTAAACTAGAGAAAGTTTGTCACCCTCATTTTCAAACTAAAAAATAATCAAATATAGTGCCTATTTACAGAGTCTCAAAATAAGGTAACTATTAACTTGACCATAATATATAACATTCTCATTGACATTTGAATTTAAAAATATTGAGCTCTTTTGCTCCATTTAATACATTGTGGAAAGTTGGTAAACCCTTTCAAACATTCTTTCTGGCTTTATTTACTTTTTGTTTTGACTGGTCAAACATGATTGCTTTCTATAAAAGAAATGCATGAGAGGTTGACTGTGGTGGATGTATCACAGGTGTAAAGAAGTTATGTTTTATAAGAACATGTATTTAGTATGGCATTTCTCTTTTAGCAGTTGAATTGTAAACCAGTTTTATTAAACTGGGTAAAAAAATGAAGGAGCTGCCTTAAGCACTTTAGAAAAAGTTTTTTACAATTTATTTTGAGTATTTTGGCTGACCATGTCACATTATGTCTTTAACTTTTGGTAATAAATATGTACATAACAAACATTTAATAACTAATGCACATAGAAATTTAATATACCACGATTCTTTTAATGTTCCAGGTATAGGTAAAGTATTAGGGACATGGCTATCTGTACAAGGGTTTAATTGATGGTCTCTCTACCATTTTGACAAATTGTGAAATGCTGCTGTACAACTAGACTTGGCCTACTTACTCTGTTCTGCAAACAGTAATTTCCCCCCATGTTATGAAAAGAGATATATTGGCTTGCTTTTATTTACTCACTTATGAAATTAAAGCATGAACAATATGTATAATTTGATTTTTTTTTGTGACTGATCCTTGGTGGTATAAGTAATAGAAGTGAATATTTGTAATGAAATCTTTTAATTAGGCTGATATTCTATTTCATGACTTATCTAGAATTAGTTTTTCTCTGTATACTTTTTCCATAAAATTATTTATGTATTTTTGTTTCTTTTGGAAACAAGTGGAAAAAAATCGGAAAAGGATATATATGGAAAATGATTATTTCAAAGAGTATTAATTTTAAAAGGTATAGACTTCTTACTATAAAATATGTGATTCTAGGCTAAAAAATTGACAGTATTTTCAAATAAGTTATTTTTTAACAAACATATTTGTTAAATCAGTGTCCACTCATTGGCTAATTCATACAATAAATATTTGAGTATATGGGAGTCAAAATTGATTACTTTGTATTCACATTTTCAAAACTAGTGAAGTTTGATTTAGTGTGTATATAGTTTTACAGCTTTTGAGTGGTGTGACAGTTTGCATCTTAAAAATAATGTTCTGCTAATAAGTTTAAAATAAATTTGTTATAGTTTGTCAGAAGAAATTCAAATTAACTGCATATAAAATGGTTCACTTTTATATAGTCACATAAAATGGGTCTGAAAAAATTTCTTCCTTGATTTTATTTTTACATTGGATATATTCTTTTAGGGGAGTTTATGGTTGGCATAAATTTATTTAGTATCCAGGTAACCATAAAGTTATTTGTTATTTTTAACCAAAAAGTACATTTCATAATGCTGGCACTGGAGTATTATAAGAGATCATGAATGTTTTCTTAATCATCACAGCAAGATTACCTCATGTTCAGTATTGTTTTAGTTTTGTGTGTATCTTATAGTAGTCACATTATACAATTTGTGATTCTGATATATCACATATGATAACTTTGTTACCTGGAATATTTGATTAACCTAAATACTTCAAGCATTTTGAATTAGTCGGAGTTTAAATGGATTACATTTGGTATAATGTTGTTTTCTTTTTTTTTCTTCTTTTTTTTTCTTTCAGCATATTATGGGGGTGCAGATGTTTAGGTTATGTATGTTGCCCTTCCCCCCCCACATATGTGGTTTTCATCAAAAAGATAGTGTTGGACATGCCATATAAACATTAATATTGGCTTATAAATAAATACTAGAAATTGCCATAGAATTTTTCTCCTCAGACTACCCAGTTATTAAACTAAAAGAGTGTTATTTCTGGGTCAGTTTAAGGTACTGACTTTTGATTCATAATGATTTAAGCTATGTTTAAACTGCTATGTTTTCTTAATGGTACCCATTCAATGTAAGTTGGTCCTTGGGAGTGGACATGTAGAGGATTTCACAGTATGTAGGGCAGAAGGTAGGTGAATGTGTTTGCTTTGGCTTAGAGCTTATTAAGTTTGGACTAATTTTAAAATAAGTCAGATTGTAAGTGATTGATAAAAGCCATTTTTGTTAGTATTGGAACTTTCTGGAGAGCATAAGGGCTATGAGAATGATTTTTTTTTTTTTTAACATTTCCAGTATATCTAAGGCACCAAAGCACTGAGTCTAATTTACCTGTTAAGGGAGTTGCTTTAAAATCAACTTTATAACTAATTCATACTATAAGATATATAATAGCTACAGTTGTAATTTAGATTAAAAGCCACTAGTCTTTAAAATCTCTGGATAGGATATAAAAAAGATTTTGGCTTCATTCCTTTTCAAGTATTTAAAATTAATCACCTTAGCTTTACTATATACTTGATCTATGACCTCTACATAAATCATTTATCATCTTTGGGACTCTATTGCCTTATTTATAAATTAATCGTTACTTGTTCAGCCTACCTCATAGGGCTGTTGTGAGGAATAAAATGAAATGGAGTATGGAAATTGCTACAACAGTA